GATGGGTGGTGGAGTCTCTCACATCTCCTTTAATCTTGTTGACTTCTGCTGTCTTCCCAGATGATGTTTAAGTTTCCTGGACAGTAATCAATTTCTTTCAATTCCTCTGGCTCACTGCAGGCTGACTCCAAGTCTGCCCATACACTCAGCCATTAGCAATAGTTTAGACCCAACTAGATCACACCCCAGAGCCCCTGGTGTCTGGCAGTGTCTGTAGCCCCCCTCCCCCCTGGCACACAACCCGGGTGCCTCCCTCTCTGCATCCTGCCGAGCTGGGGGTTCAGCCCATGTCTCTGGAAGGTCCTAAGTCACCTGCCACCTCAGTGTCCTAGGGATGCCTGGGGTCCCTGTGTTGGGCAGGGAAAAGGAGGTTTATTTCTGATCCTGTAGTCTTCCGTAAATCTCTGGTTCCTTTATATAAACAGAGCCATTTAATGATTGCAGACATGGGAGAAATAAGAGGAATAGACTCCTAATTTCTGCCTCCTTGGGTTCCCACCTTCCAGCTGTGTAACTTGGGGAAATCTGCTAAACTTTCCTCACCTGTAAGGTGGCGAAATGAGAGTATATCACCTAGAGTGTTGAGTAAAGACTCAATGAGCTAGGACAAGCGAAGTGTCATAGCAGGAGCCACGCTTAGCACAAAGCAAGCTTCCAATGTATGTTAGCTGCTAATCATAATTATTATTATTACTGTGCTGCTGTGCCTCAGCCAGTGGAAAAAGTTATGATAGGTTTTCACCACCAATGTCAGAGACTCCCTTGTATTTTCCAGCTCCTTGCAAAAATCTATTTTGGGCACATTCTCCCATGTCACTCCGTCTCGTGTGAAGGCTTGTCAGCAAAGGTCATGCACACCACCAGCTCGCTGCCCCCAAGTCAGCAGTGATGGGTGATTCTGTCCCTCAAGGGGCCAGGAAATGACATTTCTCAGTAGTCAGACCAGGACTGATCAAAATAATCAACAATAATGATACTGAGTCGGATTTTCAGAGGCAGGCGTGCGACTTAGTGGAAGGAGCCATGGCCTGGGAGACAGAAGCCATTTGCTCCTGTCTGCTGTGTGACTATGAGCAAGTCACTGCCTCCCTCTGGGCCTTGGCTTCTTTATGCTTGAAGAGGTCAGGAACAACCTCTGTCTCTCTAACATCTCTTTAAAAGAACGTGTCATGCTTGTAATTTCAAATCGACAGTTATGTAACGCTCTCTGTTCATCTCTGCATTCATAGCCCCTCTCGGTGCGTGGCAGAGTCAGTGCTCATTTTAGTATCTGTTGAATGAATGAGTGAATGAATGATGTAGAAAGAGAAAGATTTGGGAGCAAGACGGACCTGGTTTTGTATTAGAATTGGCTACTTGCTAGCTGAGCAACCCTGTGCTAGTCTGAGCCTCAGGATTACCATCTGTAAAAGAAATAATAATAGAAGCGCACACACACACACACCCCGGCAACCACCACCCTGGCCTGCTCTCTAGCGTATTACATAAACAATAGCTCTTACTTACTTCTCTAGAAACTAGCGCAGGGGAACGGAGCATTCTGTGTTCTGATGATTAAAAACTAGTTGAAAAGGTAAATCTGAATATACATTACTAGACTTAGAGTGGGCTCACCTATCCCAGAGCCGCCGGGTTGCCAATAGGTTTACAAAACCCCCTTGGCCTGCCGGTGACCCCACCATCTTCTCGCCCTCCCTTCCTTTCATCTTCGCTGCTTTTTCTGTAACACCAGTGTGTGCCTGTAGGCGACACCCAAACCCAGCTCCCGGGCAGATGGGACAGAACGAGGGGTGATGCGGTAAAAGATGGCCTGCCGTGGTGGGGACACGGGGAGACCAGAGCCCTCGTCTGAGCTCTGGCCTGGCCCATGTGACCGTGGGCAGGCCCCCTCTGGACCCTCACCCTGCTCATCTGGGAAGGGCCCAGCCCACCGACACAGGACTTGATAGCGGTGAGGAGCCTGCGGTCCCGGGTTAGCGCTGGCTTTGTGTCTCAGCTCCGCAACTCACCAGCTGCAGGCCAGTCAAGGACCGTTTCCAAAAAAATGGGCAGTGGGATTCAAGCGGGCTTATTGGAAGGAATTAGTGGCGCGGTCTCCTCGGAGGGCCTAGCAGGTTTGTTCACGGTAAGTTCAGATTTTCACTTAGTTTACGTTTCTCTGTGTTGAGGGACCCACGTCTCCCGAGTCAGATGCGCATCCATCAGCCCCCCTGCTGGCTCAGCGCTTGGCAGGCGTCAGACTCCTGCGCAGCAGAGACGCGGTGCCCACTGGGTGTGAGGGAACCAGCTCGCCTGCCGTTATCTTAATGCCTGGCCCAGTCCCTTCTCATGTCTGTGTGGCGTGTTCTTAGAGGAGCGTCTCCTCTCCTCCCTCGCACCCTTCAAAAGGCCCAGGAAGGAGGGCCTCATAATTCATGCTCATCCTGAAATGCAGGCACCGTCAGGGGGCCTCGGTCCGGGGAGGACCCGCCAGCCCTTCCTGCTCTCTCCTGAGGGCTAAGTGCCCGCTTCCTGACTTATTGCTGCAGCCACTTCATGCTGGCAGGAGGGGAAAGGAGGGCAGAAGAGAGCCTACCCTGGCATGCAGGCACTGTGCCAGGCATTTGTTTTACCCTCTTAACTACTTTGTGAGGTCAGGATGACTGATCCCCACTTTGCACATGAGGCAACTGAGGTCCCAGGAAGTGAAACAGGTTGCCCCAGGACATACAGAGCTAGGAGCCTAGCTGGGGTTTCTAATCTGGCCTGGCCTGACGTCCCTGGTTCTTGCTCTGCTGTTGTGCCGTTGCTGGGAATAGAAGGGCAAGGATGTGATTTGAGCCAAATAGGAGTCCTGTTGTTCACTGCACCGTGAGAGAGGGACTTGGTCTTGCAGACCAGTTTTTATCCAGCCAGCTTCAAGGGCTGTCGCTGCGGTGCACCCATGGGATCCCGAGAGAGAGGGCAGAGCGAGACGGGCCTCCAGACCTCTCTTCAGATGGCAGGCCCTGGGCCCTGCTGCAGGCTCTCACAGACAGGCTGTGGCCGCAGGAGAGAGTTGGGAAGCCACTGAGCTCTGGAGGCCCAGCTCCTTTCCGCAGTGTCCCCGCCATGGGAGGAGAGAGCGAGGACATGGGGGCATAGAGAGGGAAAGGTGAGAGTTATTTTATTTCCTCCATCATGCAACAAAGCATAAAAAGGAGAGATTTTAAAACCTGTTCTTTGTGGCATCAAGGAAAGAACCTGGGCTCTAGAGTCAGATTTTTTCAAACTGGTATTGGAATCCCAGCTCCAGCATTTACTGGCTTCGTGGTCCTGGGCAAGTTACTTCTCCAGTTTATTCTTTAAAATTGCATTCTTCGCGAGGGTCTTCGCAAGCATTTTAAAAAGACAAGGAATGTAAAGCTGATCGGTGTTCTGCCGATGGACAAGCTCCCCAGCGGAGGGGTGGGCAGTGCCCGCAGGAAATGACAGCTGCCTCGTAGCTGGCATCCCNCGCCGATGGACAAGCTCCCCAGTGGAGGGGTGGGCAGTGCCCGCAGGAAATGATAGCTGCCTCGTAGCTGGCATCCCTGGCTCCACTTTTATCCCACCCACCCCACCACTCACATCTTCATTACAGAGCAATCTTCCTAAAACCGGGTTAGTCATTTCCCCTCCTTAAAAAACCTCTATCTATGCCACCTGATGGTGGTCCCCCCATGAGTCAGGATCTCGCCCCACTCACCTGTGCAGCCGCACCCCCTCCCATGCCCACACTCCCGTGCTCCTGCTGCACGGCGAGGGACTTCTGTTTTCCAAACGCACCGCTGTCCCGCACACCTTCCCTCTGCCTGGATTACGTCACCACCACCCCTCTGCCCCAGGCCCTGTCCCCCCAGGAAACTCCCCTCGTCCTTCACGCCCCAGCACAGGCCGCTCCTTCTAGATGCTCCTCTGAGCGGCCTACAGCTGCCGTTTCCTCCTGACCCTCCCTCCATCGTTACATCCCGTCACCTGTTTGTGGACACCTCTCCCCAGCCGACCATGAGCGGCCTCGGGCGGCGCTGCCAATAAGGGCCTCCGGTCGTCACCCAGCCCGGTCCACTGGGGGCACTTAATCAGCAGGTCCAGCACTTACTGGGCGCTCACCCTGTGCCAGGCGCTGCTTACAATGCTTTATTTGCATAGTAGTTGATTTTCCCAGTGTATCCGTCAGCCCTGGCTCGAGGTGGAAACCACACCAATTATTTGAATAGAGAATTGCATCTTTAAAAATGATAACTAGGTACAAAGTGTTCACTTGGTAACTAAAAAAGCAAAAATAGAAAATTGCAGGGAACAGTTACCGCCCCTGGAGCGGGGGGAACAGAGGCGGCAATTATCGTAATACTGTCACCTGGGGCTGGACCCCAGCCCCGCGGTGGAGGCCGCAGGCAGCTCCAGAGGCAGCGACACTGGCCGAGACGGGGAGGAGGGGTGTGGCTGGTTCTGAGTGTTGGAAAAACTGCAAAAGTGGATTTTGCTGCTGCTAAAGGAAGGAAGCGCCGCCGCTGGTGCGAAGAAAGGAGGTGGCGTGACACTCAGGGGAACAGGAAGCAGCTGGGGGGGGAGCCCCTCCTTTCTCCTCCAGACCCCCAGGCTCCCTCCCATGGCCCCTGCTGGCAGCCTAACAGGGAGCAGCTGGCAGAGCAGAGGGAGGGTTTGCGGAGTCCTGGCTTCAGTATCACAGAGCTGGTTTGGGGCTGAGCGATGAAAACGTATACACGGGCACAGGCAGGAGCTGTTACTAGTCCCATTGCACAGATGGGGAAACTGAGGCGCGGAGAGGTGAAGAAACTTGTCCAGGATTAAATGACTCCCCCGAGCAGAGCCGGGATTCGAACCCGGGCAGCCTGGCCGGCCCCAGCGCCCTTGCTCTTAAGCGCTCTACCACAGAGGCTGAGTGAATGAATGAAGGACTGAGCGAGTGACTGAATGGGCGGCCTAGAAGGCATGCCGGGCCGGTGCCGCCTGCCTGACCGCCTCCTTGCGCCCGCCAGGTCATCCACTGGAACTCCCCCAAGAAGCTGCGCGTGAAGAACAAGCACGTGGAGTTCTTCCGCAACCTCTACCTGACCTTCCTGGAGTACGACGGCAACCTCCTGAGGCGGGAGCTGTTCGGCTGCCCCAGCGAAGCCGATGTCAACAGTGAAAACGTAAGTGGCTCACGGGGCGCGGCCCCGCGGGGGCGGGCGGCTTCTCTGCCGGACTGCGAGGACCGCCAGTGTGTGCCAGGCCCCGAGCCAGGCTCAGGGCGTGCCCGAGATGAGCAAGACGCCACCACTGCCTGGGGAGTCCCCCGTCTCGTGGGGCAGACGGGCACGTAGGCGGATCACGGCCCTGCTCATCACTGTGGAT